ACTTATTCCAAGCTAATTTAGAACAGAACAATAAATATGTAAATAAATAAACTAACCAGACTTTTCCTTTTCTATTTCAGCTTCAAGGGTAAAACTGCAGAAAGAAAGAAACAAGGTAAACTGAGTAATAATCTAAATTAACCTGTATGAATGATTTCAAATTTTGCAGTTGATCAGATGATTTATCTCTTCCTGCATAGCTCTACAATTGACCATTTATTGTTCAAGCTCAACAATATAATTTTTATTTCAGATGCTATGTGCTGCTTCTTTAACTGATATCTAACCTAGTACTGTTGCACAGCACTAATTATAATAAATCAAACCGCTTTCCCCAAAATAAAGCAAATTTTTATCTTTGAAAACACATAAAAATTGAATTAAGTTCTTTCATTAGAACACAGCAGAAACTGAGAGATGTTGCATTAGTTGCTTTTGGATTTTGTAACTAATACAGTTGGTTGATAAATGTGTAAAAGATTAATTCAACTGTTAGCAACTTTCACTGGATTGGGGCATGGCAGAAAGATTTGTCTGCAGTCTGAACAATAATTGTAGCTCTGTTAAAACAACAAAAACAAAATCTCAAAACGAGACTAAAAGATCGACACTTCACAACAGGATAACTGAAGAAGAGGCACCTCCCAATTTGTTGTGTGTTTCCTTTAATGACAAAGAAAAACAACAACAACTTTTTATTTCAATATTGTCTGAATTTTCAATGCACTAAGGCCATTCAACTATTTACTTTACTTTTTCAATGATCAATAATTCACATAATTCCCCATTTGACTATCATGTGATGAGTTTTTTCTTTCTGGGATTCAGAATGTGGATCCAGATGATTTGAACTATGCAGCTCTGACTTTCCAAGCAAAGGCCAAAAAGAGCCACAGGTCTGGACCTCAGAGAGAACTGGAGCCACATGTTGTGTATGCTGCCACCCGATAGACTCAGGAAGCAACAGGAACTGCAGCGGAAAATGAAGCAGATTCTATCACATTGATTTACTGATCTTTTGGTTCAATACATCTGCTTGTAATATGAGTGCATAGTAAAAATAAAAATAAAAACATATATATAATGTGTATTTTACTTCGTTAGAAACTCTATTAATGTGTTCAATTTATCTCCATCTCAGCGTGGCTTCTTTATTTCTGTTAAACATAAAAGTTTCATTTTCTTGGGTTGTCTGCTTTTTGTCTCACAACACACAGAATGGTGTTGAACTGAAGGATAAGTCAGATTGTTGGACTTCCTCAATAAGACAGTTAAGTGGCCTGCTGTGTGAGGAGTGAGATACAGAGACATTGACAGGAAGAGACAGCAGAGTGTGGTCTGAGAGCAACTGAAATAAAGAGGAGGCATCCACAGACCACGCGCTCACACACACACATGCACCAACGCACACACACACAGGCACACACACACACACACACACACACACACACACACACACACATACACACACGCTTTTGTTTTTTGTTTTGTATTGCCTTGTTGCTGAAAATATGGTTTATAAATTAAATTACCTTTACCTTTACTTTTACTAGTCATCTCTAATTTCTGTGCAAAGTTTAGCACCTTAACTGAGCTGACATCATTTAGCTCAGCATACTTCCATCAATAAAAAATAATTGAATCATTTTGTATAGCAAAATTTTCCCCATTGGCTTCAGCCTCGGCCTTGTCGGTGGTCAGAGCTTTTGACCACAGGTATGCTGCTGAACCCCAGTCCATGTGAGGAGACAGACAAGTGCAGTCATGAATAAGTCATTCAATTTTAAAGCCACCCGTCCCGGGTCAGATGATGCACCTCGGTGTCCCGGCTCATCTTGTGGCCTGACATCCGAAAGGAGAAAACACATCGGTGAGCACACTGCGACTCTTTGTCTCTGGCTCTATCTGTCCACGGAACATCATTTGGTTTTTGTACCGACGGATCTCGGTAATTCTGAGACTTTGGACAAACGCCTTAACAGACTGAGTTTACTTGACAGCTGTTTGACTGTGGATTACGTTTCAGCAATAAAGAGCTGACAAGGACAAGAAAAGCCTGGTGTGATATGAAACATCCCAAGCATGAAAACTCAGCATTTAGAGGCTGAGGAAGACATTCGCAGGCACAGCACTATCAGTCTGGGTCAGTAGGTTACACAATCATCAGGAAGACTGAGGCTGTAGTCACAGCAAAAGCCTCTGCAGATGAATCATCCTCATGGCCTGCAAATGTCATAATCCTCATGTCAAATCAGTCTCGAAGGAGAGACAATGTTAGAAGTGTCTTACCTCGTGTTTTTTTAAATTTCTTTTCTTTTTGGGGGTCAAAGGAAAAATACTGTATTTGGCAAAACTGCAAAGAAAACACTTCTTTCACGTCACATAATCAACAATGAGATGTTGACACTCGCACAAACCATGAAAAAGATGACAGGAAGTAGTTGGAGGATGGTGACGCTGCTTTTTTGTTTTTAAATGAGTTATCACATGAACAAGTTTATTCACATGTGATTTTAATTGCATTTCCTATTTAGTGGAAAAAGCGCAATTGCAAAATTGTGTTGTTATTTTTACATTAGCGGAATGCTAATTTTTTTTAAAATTTGTAATGGAAAAATCGCTATAGACTTACCATGGATCTCTGCTTGTGATCAAACCAGCATATGTGATCTACATAAGATCCTACTGATCTCATGTAGATCGTATTGAAAAAAACTATTTTGAATGAAAACACAAGATCACACATCTCCCCCTTTTCCTGGCTTTGTTATGCGAGTGTTGTGAGTGTAGAAAGAACGTGTCGTACCCTAAATGGCCGTGGTCCCACTATAGAAAGAACTCAGTGACCTGTGCAAGAATCTGCAGCGGGTGAAAGAAAAAGCTTTGCTGCTGCTAGTCTGAGTGACACACAATGAAAATAACTGGAACTAAGTGGGTCAAACAAATTTCACAAAAACCACCTAAGTGAAAAGTAGCAGGAAGCAAGAAGAAGGTCTTGAGTTCAAACCCTGGATACTCCAACTTCCTCCCACAGTCCAGAAACATGGCTGTTAAGATAACTGGCCTTTCTAAATTTCCCTAAGATTTGAATGTGTGTGTGCGTGTGTGTGTGTGTGTGTGTGTGTGTGTGCGTGTGCTTGTGTGTGTGTGTGTGTGTGTGTGCGTGTGTGTGTGTGTGTCCTGGTGACGTTCCTACCTGCATCACAGGAGAAACAGGAAGACAAAAATCACTTTATACATCCTTAATCTTTTTAACATAACTAATTGTATTTTTGTTCATCGTTGTTGCACTGCTGTAAAAGGAAACTCTGCCGCAGTCTCAGGTTTGTTGGAGCTTATAAGCAGTTTTCTTCCAGAATGAAGTATTTAAAAGTACTAAAAATATGTATTCAAAATGACCTAATTCATACTTCATCATTTAAGTACATCTTGTTTTCTGAGTGCTTTTGCACAACCTTGTAACTGATGCCACTGAGAATTGGCATGTGGAGCCACTCAGCTACACAATGTCCACACCACCTGTAAAAACTTAAGCATGAAAATCCTTTTTAAAAAAATCACGGCTGCTTTATACCAGCTTTGGTTTGAACTTCTCCAACCGTCTTAATTTTCATCGTCTTCTGATCTGTTACATTGGTGGTTAGCAAACAACTCAAGGAAGCACTGCCAGAAATAAAACTAATAACTGCCTTAAGAAATAAAATAAGGCCTGACATCCTCTGCTCCCTGAATGTTCCTGCACTAAATCAACAATGTTCAATTTTATATTCCTAATACTCTCAGCTAATTTATTTCTTTGAACCAGGTAATTCATGCAATGCATATCATATCAGTCAATATCATTTCAGTAAAGAAAAACAGAAGCAGCTTGTTTCAGCCGGCTGCAAAGCTAGCCAGAAAGAACTAATACCGTCAAGCTTCCTGGAAATGTAGTGGAGTCAAAAGTATATTGTTTGTCTTTGAAATGCAGTGGAGTGAAAGTCTTAAGTTCCCACAAAATCAGACACTCAAGTAAAGATACTCAAAAAATGTACTTCAGTACAGAACTCAAGTAAATGTACTTTGTTACTGTTTGTCACTGGGAGGTCAGATATCAACGCTTTTGATCTTCAGGAGGTTATTATCTATTCATTTTTTTACCCCAGGATAACTTTAAACCTTAATGAGATCATTAGGTGTTGCTGTGTTTACTTTAAACACCCACTCAAATCCAAAAATAGCCCTGCTTAAGAAACAGCTTGAGAGGAGGGAAAAAAGGTTTGTTCGTGGCTGACTTTGCCGAGAAGAGACCACAGCTCGACCGCTCGCTTGAGATGTTTGCAAGGGCAGCAGACCAACTGCAGAACTTTTAAAAGACGACTTTGTCGGCATGAGGAAGTCTGAGTATTTCAATGAGGAAGTTTGCGATCGCTGGTAATCTGATATGTGAGACAGAACATGATGTACGGGCCTGAGTGCACTCTATGAGTTGTCTGGACGGACTCTGTAGTCTCTGGCTTTGAAAATAAAAGATCTAGGACAGGCTTGAGAAGAGCATGGCTTTGGTATTTATCATACCAAATATTTTCCAGTGAAAAATCACATGCAGGTTACATTTCCTTTTGTTTTATTCAGCAAAACGTTTGGTTTGATTTTCACCTGTCTTCATTTTTAATGGAGTGGAACACAACAAATACATGTCAATGACATACTGAAAGTTTTATGAGGTGACTTTGTTTCAGCAGTTATCGAGTTGCGTGAATCAGTTGTTGAGAAAAATGTGAAAAACCTTGTGGGTAAGTGAAGTTTAAGGAACTTCAGCAGGATTTTGTGTCAGATCAGAATCTAGTGCACAAAAGTTTCGGTTTCATCCTCCCAAGAAATTTCCACACAACAGCAGACAACCCACTGCAAAAACTTCCTTCCCCCTTTTTTCATTATTTATTTCTCTTTTTAGTACTTTCACTTGTTGAAAACATCCTACTGGTACAACTGTTTAACAAAAACATTGCACCACAAGGTACATGTGTGAATCACTTTATTTGCCCCAAAGTAACAGTAAGTACAATGAGTTTTTCATGCTACTGCCGGTGGTGGCCCCGGGGCCTCCTGGGCTCCTCGCTCTCTACTGTTTGGAGAAGCGGCCGTGTGCCGCGCAGGTCAGGGCGACGATCAGTGTGACAAACTCTTGGAAGTCGACCTCAGCGTCCCCGTTGAAGTCCAGACTTTTCAGGAGCTTGTCCACTTCGCCGGGATTCTTCACTGTCTGCACATTAGGAAAAACAAATGAAGGTTTTACTGGTAAGTTTACTTTCACCAAGCTCATTTTAGAACCACTTTTAGCTGGTTAAATAGGTATATTTTAGATAAAAACAAGATCCTTGAAGATAGAAATCAATGAAAATTTGTCTCAATGTACAATAACCCCTGCAGAGACAATAGCCTTGATGCACATCGACTGACTATTTTTTGTCTAATTTCTTGTATATCTCAGTTCACTTGAAATAAGACAAAATTACCTCACAAGTAACTTTTCAGTAACATATAGTACTAGCTGCACAGGCAGATAATCACTGAGGGGAAAAATGTTTTGTTACAGGTGAAATAATCTGCCAGTAGAACTCCGACTTTTTAAAATGAATATCACAAAATTGTTTACCTTTGACAGTTTCCTCTATCTCACTGAAAAGCTACTTGTACGTTAAGTTTGTCTTATTTCACATGTACTAAGACATTTGCACCAGAAAATAGACAAAAGTACTTAGTAAGATTTTGTGTTTTTGTACCGTAGTCCAAAATATGCTCCCCAGCAATGATGCACTGTCTCAATAGACATTGTTAATATCAATGCTATAAGCTCTGCATGATTATCTTGTCTGTTTCCAACCTGACGTACACAGGCATTCCCCCCCAGGTGAGCAACGTACCTTGAGCAACCCAGGCAGCTCCTTCTCCACCAAAGTCTTCACCTCAGCTTTGCTCAGCGTGTTCTTCTTCCCGTCAGAGCCAGCGTATTTGTCGAAGGTTTGTATGAGGGTGGCCATTGCTATCTCCAGTTGACTCATGATTGCAGCCGGTCTGGTCCTCAGTGTAGCTCAGAGGAGAATCGGAGCGGTGGATGCACAAAGTGTGGGCCACAAGTAGGTGGAGGCTGCTTTTATATTGCGGGGACCAGTGATGAGTGCCAGCCTTGAAAGGTTAAGCAATGCCGCATGTTTACTATAGGTGGTGGCTCCGACTTCATAGACAACATCCATACTCCACCCAATGTACATACCCACTAAAAGCCGGCTTCTATCATTGTCTTGTTGATTTAAGGGGCGGGCCTGTCATTAATTTAACCACAAGATGGGTCGACTTAAGCTGGAGATAAAATTACTTTAATACTTTAGGTTGTTATCATCTTATTGTGCAACCTCAGATGCAAACATTGGAGATCACAGTCTTCTTTCTTTTTTATTTTTATTTTTAAGGTCACAATATCGAAACAGGTTGAAATCCACAATCACTACATTTCACTGTGGTCAGTGGTTGCCCATACATCTGTGCACCAGCGAACACAAACAGGTTTCGTGAACAGAAGTGTTTGCTTTTGCTTGTATTTTCACTTGTGCACCTGATTTCCTGCAAACAATCCCTTAGGGTTTCTGAAAGTAAGCTACCTTCGCTCACACAGTCAATAACTGCTTTCTCTGCCTTATTTTTATCTACAGGGATCTGCTTGCAGATATATTATTATAAAGAGCATCAAGAAAAGATACATATGTTCATTGCTGGTGTCAGCCTCATTGTTAATGTGACCTGATAAGCCCAGACAGGAAAGTACAGCCTACATTTGTATCCTGGTTGTAGCTTGAATGTTACTTTTGTACCTCTGACAACTGCATCTTGAGTTTTCTTTGCATTTATTCTCTACTGGCTGTGAAACAGATTGCTCCTTGGAAAGAATAAAGTTTATCTTGATCTTGTGCAGCATGATTCTATAGAGAATAAAAACTGACAGCCAAGCTCCTACTGATGGCCATATATCTGTGTCAGATTGGATGACTTTACATTACAGTTCTGTAAAATAATAAGTGTCCACATTACAGATTTCTTCCCCATTGAAGATTATCAATCAGGTGCTATTTAAGTGACTTCTTGACTCTTTGGGACTGCCAGTATTTAGACCCAGGTGTGGCAGGTTTCCAAAACCTTTTAGGTTTGCTTCTTGTATTAACTTTGGTTATTTTGGTATAATACTTTTTTTTTAATCTTAAAAATGTTAAACGTTACCTCTAAGGGGAGAAATGCTCTTTGACAGCACTGTATGTGTATTTTGTCAAAAGAGCCTAGAGCACAAGACCGTCCAACGGATGTGATGAATATGTTTGTGTGATGAATATGTTTGTGTGATGAATATGTTTGTCGAGGGCGAAATGAAAAGGCGAGGTCTATCTGCAACTAGAATAAACCCGCCCATGAGAAAAGCCACAGTAGGTGGTTAACACCTTCTGCTCCCTTCAAGGGATATGAAATCGGTGTAATCAAGTGATGATGTAGAGTTGTTTTGATTCAGTGAGGTGAATTAGAGTTTTGTTGAACTTTTCAACCAGGAAAGAGGTCTCTTCTTTTGCTTGGATTTCATCAACATTTTTGGCCACAAATGTCAAATCGAGCTTGGCCTTTAGTTGGTTTGTTTCAACTCTTCTTTTTCTGAATTTGTCTGACTGTATGACACAGAGCAGCAGTGTTTTTATGAACCAAATCCAGTGAAAATGATTTAATTTAATGTGGATTTTATTCCATCTGATCTGCACAGGATCAAAATTATACATAGGGGCTCAAAGAGAAACGTAGACATCCACTAATTTTTGGGTGAGTGTGCAATAAGAAATTGAACTTCTTTATCCAAATCACACACTCCTTTAATTCAATTTTTCGCTAGAATTAGCATATTCAACTCTTGTTGACAGAATCGGTTAAGCTTTGGTCGTTCTCTTTTTTGTCCAAAAATGAGCTTCGGCTTGCGTTCGGCCTTAAGTTGACATCTTGTTCTGTGTTTGTCATTGTCGTGTTTAAACATCCTGTTGATTCCAAAGTCTCAGCCACCTGACAAAATCAAAGAAGCCCATGAAAAAAAATTGACATCAGCTCACTTCCACTTTGGAACATGGACGAGAAGTAGATTCAGTGTGAGGCTTTCTGACCTTATGTGATTTTGTTGATTTGTTTTACACTATCATTTGTATTTGAAACCCTTTTCTAAATACTTCTCTGGGTGTTTTCTGTAACCTCTTTCTTATCTTGTTGTAATCTCTCTCGGTACATCCGTGGGTAAGGCCCCCATGATACCTCTGCAGCGTTTGCATTTGCTGCATCTGTTCAACAGATTCTGCAGATAAGTTTGAGTTGAGCTCATCTTCTGTTTTGGTCCTCTCTGTTGGATGTGTGAAAAGACATTTTCTTGCACAATGCACATACACAAAGGGTGCTTGTCCAAAAAGCTCACTGCATTTCCTCAGACAAACTTAGCAACTTTAAAGTTATTATTTCTGAATGCGTTGTTGTTTCAACTACAATGGACTCCCGTATTTTGCAAGTGTTTGGGACCACAGTCACCTACTAATACCTAAAATTCCCAAACACTAGAGATCCCCTCTAAACATGTACATATTATAGTAGTTCAAAAACCAAATATACTCTGTATGCATTAATATGAACAGTGGAAATTGATGTGGTGTTATGAAGAAACTAACATTCACAATCTTCCTTATCTTTGCTCTTGGGGGCACAGCCAATCAGTGCCAAGGAAAACTATTGGCACACCTGGATTAGCTGCTTTGCTAATGCTAGCAGCAGCTTGTCGAGTAGCATTGTGGCTACGTATTTCAGATTCCCAAGCTGCATTGTCTTTCAAATGTTTCGGTGTATGCGCTATGAGAAAATACATTAATAGGTCGATTTTCTACAAATTTTTAATTTGGAGTTAAATTCCACAAAAAAATTACGAAAATATGTGACTATACAAATACTGAACCGTAAAACAAAACAACTTTCTTTTACAGTCATCATTTGTGTTATCTTCATATTTTCTATACTTCTTTTTCTCTAAACTTGTTTTGTTGTCCGCTGTGACCTCACGCAACATAAGGCATGAGCAATATTAAATGATCGTTAACGTCGAATAATTGTATGGTGGATTGATCCTGTTGTTTTATACAGGAGCTTTTTAGCCTGTTTTACCAGCATTTAACATTGCATCATCGTTTTTGTGACTCGATGAGACTTTGTAAAATGAAGCACACAAAGAGACTCATAGTTGCATTTTCAAGCTTCTTCTTCATCAGGTTTGTCTTAGCATCTGGCTTCTGTGTCTTCTAACGGCTGCTAGCTAACTAGCTTGAAGAATGCTGCTATGTTTTAAGTCTTTGGGAAGCCATTTGTGAAACCTTGTGTAGCCTAAAATTTGCTAGCATTTTATAAAGTGGTCAGTCCATTGACATGAACCTGTAGTTCAGTCCTGCTGTTTCAAACTGAAAGAAAGTCGTGTTTTCCTCACCGCAGCGCTTCTATTGGCAAATAGCTGTAGGAATTCCCCCGTTAATCTTAAATGTGTGTGTTCGGCAGTGCTGGGAGTGTTTTAGCAGTAGGTGTATGGAAGTTCCAGTCAGAGGACAGAACACTCTGTGTGCAAGCTCTCCAATAATGAGTATTTTGACCGATAATATTACTGAGACACGGTCACAACAGAGAAAATCAAAGATGTGTTGATATGGAGTACACTGAAGGCTCAAAGGCCATCATGTAGTCGCTTGCTCTTTCCACTTCCTGCCTTTGACCTATTATGCTGCAGCGTGGCAACACCACACTTTCCATTCAGGGTCCATATTGTGAAACTTCTTCCCCCCGGCTGCAGAGTTAGTATGTCTCAGTAATTTGGACCACTGTCAGTAATGTGGTTAAGTCTCAGCAAAGGTACATTTGAGTCTTTTATTCTCATAAAAGTACATGCGTCATATTTGTACACTTGCAGTCATGTTTTGTAGATCAGAATGTCTTTTGATGAGGTTTACGTCAGATTAAAAGTACCTTTTCAAAATAACCACATGCAGCTCATAATACTTATCAATCCAACTTTTCTTTATTAAAAACATTGTTTTTTATCTGATATACCATTCTAATATTTGAGCATAAAATCATCATTATAACAGAAATAAAAACTTGAAAAGATCAGTGTGTGTGTGATGTGTGTGATGTATGTAGTGTTTCATCGGCCTTACTGAAATAAATAAACTTTTCAATAAGTTGAATATAATTGTGTGTGTAATGACAACGTGAATAAATGAATTGAGCACTATATTGAATAAGACATGGTTTGTATGAAAATGTCAAATATTTACACGCATATTTATGACTTATGTTACCCAGATATAGTAATATATAGTATTTACAAAATTACAAGCAAGAAAGTGTTGGATGAGATCCTATTTGGTTCTTTCGGGCTCCACTCGCTCGAAGTAATCCAAGGAATCATACATGGCCACTTCACACTAAGCAAAACAAAGAGAAATAAGATGTGTCAATACAACAAAGTTCAGGAAGCTTAATATGAGTTTTTACATATTAAATATGTTTTCTAATTTGCGCACAATAAATGATTCAAGACCATAGATGCAAAGTAGCTTTGTGTCATAATTTTATCACACTGCAGGAGATGTTGAAAAATAATCAATAAACGCTTCAGGCTTTTTTTTTTTTTTTTAATGGTTTCTCATAACACTGAAATTGAATATCCATACTCATACTCACCCACTGAGTTGAGCCTCTGGAAGAAGCGGTGCTGCCTTTGTCCATATCTGCTTCGATAGAGTCAGTGTGTGGAACTTCATAGATCACCCTGACTGCTTGTCCTGAAACACACACACACACACACACACACACACACACACACACACACACACACACACACCACACACACACACACACGCATACCCACCCACCCACACACACACGCACACACACCACCCACACACACACACACACACACCCCGACACACACACACACACCACACACACACACACACACACACACACACACACACACACACACACACACACACACACACACACACACACACACAAGAGTTTTCACATATTTACAGGAACAAGCAACTG